CAGGCGGTAGGTGCCCTCGCGGGTGACGAACTGCGTCTTCAGGTCGTCCTTCACACTGGCGTCCAGTTGGTTGGCCATTGCTGGTGCGGCTGCTGCTCCTGCTGCTGCTGCACCTTCCCTTCGCCAGTCCAATCCAGACCACCACTCAGCCCATGTGAATGTGGCCACTAGGTGCCAGCGGTGCTAGTGGTGCTCCTCTGCCAGCCACCAATTAACCCAAATGCTCGTGGGCTTGCCCTTTGCCTGTTTTCCCCGTATAATTAGATTTAATTCCTTCACTACACCGACTTTCGAGGGGCTCTGCTGGCACTGTTGTTGTTCCTGCCGTGGAGCTGTGTTCGCCAAGTTTTCCGAGTTCTCCGGCCACTGCGCTGGTTGCCTGCATCACGGCGTGGTGGCGGCGGGAAGGGGGTGACGGGGCTCGCGGTTATCGCATCGGCCGCACGCTCAGTTTTATTCCGCACAAATTACTTAATTTATTTCTAATTTCTGATTGGGATAAGTGTGTGCCCGTCTCTGCGCGGAATACCACAGCTCGGCAGAGTGTCCGGGAGGGGCTGGGATTTTGGCCGCCCCGCCGGCTGGTCACACTAACAGACTTTTTCGGCATTTTTCGAATGCTGTCCTACTTAAAATATCTCATCTCTCTCTTCCTCTCTCTTCGCATCTTGCATCTCCCTTTTTTACTGACACTTACGCTGAGGCCGTCTCCTTTTTTACTGACACTTACGTTGGTTACGGCTGACACTTACGTGGCCATCTTGTATCCTGCTTTTTACTGAATTACGCTGATTCCTTTTAACACACTTACGTTCCCGACACTTACGTTTTGTTTGATAAACTATTTACAGAACCCCATGTTCAGTTTCCTGGATTAAACCCTTATTACTGTAATCATTTTTCCTGTTTTGTATGGGATAGGGTCATTAGTATTTCTCAAACTGTGGGTTTGATTTTGATGAAACTTTTAGACAAGGAGCTTGAATTAACCCTCAATAGCTTGGCTTATCGTGCATATTGGCACAACCTCTGTGAGGGGAGCAGTTAACAAAATTGTGGGGACTCGATTTTTCAAATTCATTTTTGAAACATTAAAAGGCCTCGGATGTGTCCCAAAACTACCTAGATCTATTGATCTTTTCTTTCTTAAAATTTAGCATTTTAGATTTTTTGATTTGGTCCCCGACGTTTGTCTTACGAGAACTCCGCTCTCTGTTTTGCTGTTTTGTTTGTTTGTTTTGTTTTTGTTTTGGTTTTTGGTTTTTTGAATTGGGAATCGGGAAATTGGGAAGGAATTTATTGCAGAATGATTTTTTGATGAGCAAAATAATAAGGCGATTTCGAGCAATAAGAGAAGTCTTGGACTGATCGACGAAGCACCCGGCGGAAGCCATGCCAAGCGCGAATGGATGGAGGACCTGCTGGATGGACGCAAGGAGGAGCTCTTGGGACACAGGCGGCGGAGACAGGCAGCAACTGGGACTTTTTGTCGACACATCTTTCTCAGACACCCAGAAAGGGCCTCCCCCTAGAGAGATCCTACAAACCCCAGCGAAACCAGTGCTCCAACTGATGACCAATAAAATTGATTGAGGACAACGCCGACGAGGTGTTCAAGAAAATCAAACCAAGCATGGGGAAATGGAACCCATGCTACAAAACACACAGCTCTTCTTGGACGCGGTGACCTTCCTTTAAGTTCCCAGGACCAGGACCCAGGACACCGGAGAAGATGCTGCCATCCGTTAAAGACGAGTCCATGTCGTTTATTTCGAAATCTGTGATAGAGTGATAGTGATAGTGCAGGGCACACAATATGTGACTTGCGAAGAGCTCGAGAACCAATCCATTCTTGATCCCGAATGAAGAAGGTCGAGGAATTGTCCTCCCGGAAGAAAATAGGGGGAATAATACAAAATAATTTGGTGGCATTTTTCATATGTTGTCTCTTTTAAAACATATTACCATTCATCTTTCATTATTTTTAAATTCTATTTAAAATATCCAGATTGAATTTTATATGGTATTCGAATGTATAATATAATAATACAATATTGTTTCTCTTTCCGGCAACTTTCATATGCTGTCCTATTAACACAGCACCGCTTCAGTTTTTCTCAATTCAATTCAATTTATAGTCAGATTTATGTTTTATATTTTGTTTAAATACATAGTTAATCTTATTTAATAGTAATACAACTAGAGACAAGTTCATGTTTACTTAGTTTGTTTGTGTTACATTTTAACCCTGCGCTTAAAGGCTTTTTGGGGCGTTCTTTCTTACATATTGTGAGGATGCGTGAAACACACCCTCCACATTTCGCCACGAAGGCATACAATTGGAGATTACGCCACGAAGGCAATTTATATAAGTTCAAACTAGAAGCTAAGCTTATCCGATTTAAATATTGCGCGCACCAGGGCTGGAAAACCACCCAGTGTTGGTCGACCGAGGGCCAACAGCTGATAGTGCCGAAGCGATAGGCGGGAGGTTCGATAAGAAACTGTGTTGGGAAACGAAGAAACCCGGCAAGCCGGGCTTACATGCGGCCGCAAGGGCGGAAGCTCGCTCTCGAATCGCCAAGGCGATCAGACCTAGGAGCGGACTACAACCCGGAGTGGTACAGCGGCAGTTTCGTCCCAACTCCTTTCTACAAATTTAACTGTAGAGGACCCTGGCCGGACTGAGTTTTATCCCAGCCCATGAAAAAAGGTCCTTTCAATATTATTATTTGTACTTTGTGCATGTTTAGTAGTAGTGTATTGTTATATTTTTTTATATTTCATATTTCTAAAACTTTGTATTTTATTTGGAAACTGTCAAGGGAGATTGTCCTGCCTGTATGAAATATGGCCGAAAAGCGAATGTTTATTGAAGCAGTGTATTGTTATATTTTTTTTATATTTCATATTTCTAAAACTTTGTATTTTATTTGGAAACTGTCAAGGGAGATTGTCCTGCCTGTATGAAATATGGCCGCAAAAGCGAATGTTTATTGTAGCAGTGTATTGTTATATTTTTTTTATATTTCATATTTCTAAAACTTTGTATTTTATTTGGAAACTGTCAAGGGGATTGTCCTGCCTGTATAAATATGGCCTTAAAAGCGAATGTTTATTGTAGCAGTGTATTGTTATATTTTTTTTATATTTCATATTTCTAAAACTTTGTATTTTATTTGGAAACTGTCAAGGGAGATTGTCCTGCCTGTATGAAATATGGCCGCAAAGCGAATGTTTATTGTATAATAATAATACAATATTGTTTCTTTTTAAGCTGTTCCTTTATTGTTTTAATCCGGCAGTCGTGCCGTAAATCTCATTAAAGAGAATACCACCGACTGCCAAAATTTTGTGGTCACTGAGGACCCAGAAGTCCACTAGCCACTGTGCAAAATCCTGGTGAATGAAAACTAGATAGCATATCAAGTACAAAAACAATGGAATGAAACTAGGTAGCATATCAAGTTACCACAATTTAATAAATTCCAAGGTCTCTGGACTTAACATAGAAGACCATTTATTCAATGCCATTCAAAACAAAGATCTGCAGAAAGTTTTTGACCAACCAATAGATTTAAGAGATAAACTAATAGAAAAAATGTAGATTTACATTTTTTTGTATGTCCTGTCATTAATTGGGATGTCATCGGCTGGGTGCTTTTTGCGGTCAAATAATTGTATTGAGCAGCAAGTTGAGCCAAACGCGTGACTGCCGACGGCTTTTTGACATTTCACTTAATAAGCTCGTACAAAATTTTAGGTGTGCCAAATCGACCAGTGTTGGTCAAGTCGATGGCAGTGGGCGTGGTGATCGATTTTTGTAGTCTAGTTAATTAAATATTAAAAACTTAAGCTAAAGCTAAATATATTTTTACCAAATAGAATTTTGTTGCGTTTACCCAGTAATTATAACTTTTATTGATGTACAATAGTAGTACCTTTCCAAAACTTTTTTGATAAGAAAAACAATTAGTTTATTGAAGAGTGCTACATGAACCCAGTTTTCCAATTGCCAATAAATAACATTCAAAAATTGCAAATAAAAGAAGGCACCCTCTGGTCCTTTCATCAAAGAACTTAACATTTTTCGTTAGTGGCAAAAAGTGAAGTAGTGGGGAAAAAGGGCATTTTAGGCAATACTTTCTGAAAATTGTAAATTGTTTTGAGTTCAACTCCATATTTGCCTATCGTACGCAACCATGACCACGGCTTTTTGCCGCAATCCCGCCTAATTTTTGAGACTTAGCTAACAGTACTGCCAGACTGTCAAAAAGTAGTTGTGAAACATCGTTGCCAGAATGTACAAATGGGCAGTGCCAGTGATGCCTGTCTTTTTATAGTCATCTTGCTGTTGTTGTCAGCATTGTCTTATGTGGCGGGAAATTTAAATTTCAAAATGAAGCCAAGTAAAGTTTTTTGCTTTTAACAAAAGTTTTTCATGTTATTGCTACATTTATTAAAATGCCTTTTTTTTTTAAAACTTTTCTTTGTAGTAGTACACCCATATAACTATTCCATTATTTATTTTCTTAGCCCCTGTCAATGGGCAACCAAAAAAACCAACAACATTGGACAGAAACCAATGGCAGTGACTTGCGTTATTCCAGCGAATGAAGGCATGTGTGTGTGTGGTGTTAGCCGGAAATGCATTTGGCATGTCCTGCGAAATTGGCCAGTGAAGAAGAAGAATGAAGCTGCTGCTTTGTTGCCTTTCCGCCTTTTACTTGCCCCATTTTCTTGTTACTTTGCACTTCCAATTGCATTGGAGTTTCCTGCTAAATCTCGTTTCGGACACATGTCTTTTGTCTTGGCATTGTCACCCTCACCCCAGGAATTCCCCCCACCGGCTTTAGACCAAGTGGGATGTAGCGACTGGTGAAATGGGTAAATATGTATCGACCTCGACCGGCGCATCGAACTCGAATCAATCACAAGCGATTGATAAAAGGGCCACTTGAGGGATCGAGTGTGTGTGGTATAAAAAGCAGCAGTACCAGATGAAGAAGCACCCACAAACTGCACAAACCATGCGACTGCAAGGTGAGTTCATTCCGCCGTTGCCACTTTCCCAGGACTAAAGCTGACTATATCCGATTAGCTTTGCTCTGGCCACTCGCCTGCTGCCTCGTGCTGCTCCTGCTTCCGTCCGGCATCCTGTCGCAGTGCAACGATTCCACCCACCGGGATGTCTCCACCAGGCGGAGGAGGGCGTCGCCCAGCGCCATTGTCTGGATCCCACCAAGTACTGGTTCTGCCGGCCATCGGTCAGCAGGCCCAGCTCAAGAAGTGCCAGCCCAACACGGGATTCGACCAGGATCTCAACGCCTGCGTGCCCTGGATCGCCTGGGTCTGGCAGCCATGTCCGGAGCCGCCAAGTCGTCCTCCCGGCTGGGAGCCCTGCTAAATTAGCCTACTTTGGCTGAAAGGATGCCTTTTTTAATGGGAAACACATTGCTTCTATAACGTGTATACGACAAAATAAATTTATATTCTTAATTTGATTTAAAAGCCAGCTAATAGCCTTGATCATAAATACATTTTCGGTAATACAGATTTGCATTTTAATAGCCAATAAATTCCGTAATTGTTGTTTTCTTAAATTGTATCCAAATTATGGCTAATTTCTTGCTTGTATGAATAGTTTACAAAATGTATAAATATTCTTTATATTTTTACTTTTTTCTCATTAAAATTTATTTGCGTTGGCCAAACAAGCAATCTAAACAACCAAATTAAAGTAAATTCACACGTATGTAGGCTAATAAGCATTTGCATTTCCAATAAAGAAAAACTAATAGGTATGTCCGAATATTAAATACATGCTAATTTATTAGTTTTCTATGTTCAACAATTTGTATAACAATATCTGTGTCCAAAAATGCAGTAAGCCGTAAAGGCTTTAAATTGAATATTGTAAACATTCAGGCTTTTGTCACGTACTTTAACCCAAATTATGCGAATTAGGGTATTGATTTTACCAAAAAAAATATGTATACAATATGAATAGGAAATGTGTTCATGATTTAAATAAAAGCAATATAAATGAAATTTAGTCTAAAAGTTTAATACATTTGTAAATTAAAACTAAAGTACTAAAAATTTTAAAATATTTTTAATTTTTTATTTTTTATTTTAAATAATGCTATGTTCGCTAATACTATTTTTATAGAAAAGCCCAAATAAATGTATGTCCCGAAAATGCAATTGCTAGATCATAACCTTTTGTATTTAGAATTCTAAAGATAAGCATATTTCTAGTAAAGATTTTTGTAGTGCATCCAAAGCTAATAGAGGAAGCGTCGTGAATGAGTCAATTAGGTGGCTTGTTTCAACTCGGTGCCAAATATTTATTTGAAGCAGTATATCTCCAGGTCCCCCAGACCCCCTGTGCGATATTATCTGGGGCAATGTCAAGAGCAAGATCAGAGAAGAGAGAGATAATACACCCATATCTCTGTGCGAATGCGGTGTGAATCATGTTTATGATCTGCACTCATTTTACTCAGGGCCCCCGGATGGCTGAGAGACCAGATATAGTGCGTACACAGAGAGAATTCTGACGTTCTCAGATGAGTTAAAAAAGTTCTTAAAAAAATATAACATCATTTAAACCCAAGTTTAACTGAAAGCTAAACTAATACTCTAGTGTATACATATATGAAAGTTATCTATTTTCGTTGTCCCTTCTCCCTATAATGTGCTTACACGGTTTCTAAGAACGAATGTACTCAATTCAAGAACAATGGGCTTGAATATTAACAGGGTTTTTAAGAGCATGTGTTCTCAATTCAAGAACAATGTGTTTGAATATTTCTCTCTGTGTGTATGAGTATTTTTATGGCAGTGCCGTGTGATGATCCGCCGATGGCCTGTTGCAATTACAGCTGAAATTGTTAACGTGTGGCTTCTGACGGCAGTTAAGCGCCCCTGAATGTCGCGCCACGCCCCCTTTTGGTGGGTATTTGTCATAAATCAATGGGTGAGAACCCGTTTTACCAGGGGTCTGGGAGTCCTGTACTCCCAGTCAACCTATGGCCACCTCTTCCCACTCTCTCGGCCAATAAGTTGCACTATTTTTGATGCGCTCGCCCGTGCATTTGCAGCAAGCATTTTATTTCATTTCACAGTTGTCATTCAAACGCTTTGTCAGGCCGGCGAGCACATCAATAAGCGGCAAAAAAATACGATTCAATTGAATTTTTATTTCTCGCTTTTTTTCGCGAGCGACGTGCGTGTGAGAACCAGCAAAATATTTGCATGTAAAAGAATTTTCCGCCAGCCAAGCACAGAGATCCCAAAAAGGGTGCCGAGGTAAAAATTGTGAAATGAAATTTTAGCATACGTGACGTATACGCAATATATTTAATTGCATTGAGCCGCCTCTTTGTTTTCCATTCCGTTTAATCCGCACTGCAAGTATGTTTTCAAAGTGGGGAGTGAGTGGTGAGAGTGGAAAAAATGCGTTTAAAATTTAAATCAGGGCTGAAGTCTAGTGCCTGCAAAATAAATGGCCTTGTCGTTGGAAAATCTCAAAATACTCGGGAAATGCTACAAATGCCACACGAATTAGCATAAATCACTTGGAGGACATGCTAGGGGATGGGGATACTGGGACAAGGACACAAGGTGGAAGCCATGCAGCCAAGTGCCTTTCCTTCCGGTAGCTTCATTTAATGGCAGACATTAATAACCCGATTTAATTTATGGCCCAAAACTAACAAAAGCCCAATCCGCAAAACTGAGCAACAAAGGGCAAGAAGGCCAAGAAGGAGGCCTTTTCCCGGGAACCCCCAACTGCGAGCTGCACTTCGCTGTGCAGTGCAATTACTCAAGTGCGCCAGGAACTAATGTGGCTTAAGGCACTCCCCCTCCCCCTCCTCCCAGCCAGGTGAAATTTGTTGGCCCAGCCCCAAAAATGCCTTTGAGGCAGTGTTTTGAATTAATTAGCCAGCGTATCCAGCGCTTTCGGACCGGGCCAACAACGTGGCTCCTCCGCTTGTTTGCGGCCTGGCCGGCTATCTCTCGAAATAATTTACAGCTGCCGTTGATGTCATGAATATGCAAGCAGCTTGGCTGGATGGGGACATGGATGTACAGGGGATGAGGTGGATGTAAGCCCACCTGGACAGCTCACCCACTCGAGCGGAAGAAACAACAATTGGGCAAACAAACAGCGCCATAAAATGCCAGATGAGCTTATCGCGACCACAGCATCGCAGCTCAGTTCCGCTCGATAAGGTTTGGGGTATAAAAAGCGCTGCCCGGATTAGCATAGGTCAGTCCAACGAAGGCATCCCCTGCTCAAGATGAAGTTCCTTTCCTGCTCGCTGTTTTCTGATCCTTGGCTGCTCTCATTTCTCCAGGGAGCCGCTGTGGCCAAGCCCACGGGTCAACCTGGCTGCCAGACGGCGGAGGAAGTGGCGGTGATCTTCTATCCCCACTTCTACCTGAAGAGCTCCTACTGGATCTGCTCCGCCCAGGGTGTTCCCGCCACCCTGGGTCAGTGTCCGGTGGCCACTGCCTACTTGGACTCCGCCAAGGCCTGTGTTGCCTGGCCACTTTGGACCTGGTTACCCACTGTCCAGCCACCCAGTCAACCCGAAATCGCTGCCTGAAATGGGATATATAACATTTCAAATGGTTACTAAATAAATAATTTATTATACTAAATTATATATAACATTTTATATTGCAAGGGAAAAGTATTTACATATTAATACATTTTACTAGTTCCACAGCTTGTTACTAGGGAAAGTAAATCGAGTAAAGGCATTTTTTATTAGCAAATATTCTATTTTTCTGCTTGTCTGGAATGCAATTCATTATGACAAATGCCTGCGTTAGTAACTCGCTTTCAAAAGATAAGCAGATAAATATTTATTTTCTAATGTCGGCTGATGACTAGTTTGTAAGACATTAGAATGTAAGATATCTTGTGGAAATTTTGTAGAGTAATATATTGTTTTCTGCAAGTAGAATGCGGAATTTTTAGATAAGATTTCCTTGCAATTTCGATAAGAATCTTTGGATTTTACGTTGTCTGTCTGAGGTTAGTATAATCCCGATAAAACTTGATTAATAGAGGTTTTTATAAGAATTGGTTATTTGTCTCCCATGACTTTTAATAACAAGAAAGGAATATATAATATAAATTTAATACAAATATTTAAATATAAATAAGCTATCTTTTATCTCAACTTCAGAAATAAGGGTTTATGTTTTTTAGAGATATACTTACTTTACAAATCATTAAGTTTTCCTTTTTCATTTTCTAATAAAGGTTAATAAAATGTAGTTGGGTATTCCTTGGTTTAATAGTTCAAATATTTTTTATATTATTAAAAAGAGAATAAATCTGAAACCTATTAATTTCTGTTATCCCATTTTCAGCCATGTCCGGTAAGGAGTACAACGGAGAGCCCGGCTGCCGGAGTCCGGAGGAGGTGGGTCAGAGCTACCGCCACTTCTTCGACCCCACCGCCTACTGGCAGTGTGGCGGCAGACAGCAGGCGGACCTGCCCGCCCAGCTGCGCCGCTGCCCGCCAACGAGCTGTTCTACGACCGGGAGCGGCGGTGCGTGAAGTGGAAGGACTGGCAGTGGACCGAGCCGCAGGATCCGCCCACAAAGCCGCGCAAATAAAAGAGGGCGCGGCGCATGTATTGAAACAAATTGTCGAAAATATAATTAAAAAGCGCTTTCCGATTTTTCCCGGTTGAGTGCTGGTTAATTTATGCGTGGGAGTGGGCGTGGCCGATGCTGGAGAGGATGGGGCCAGGACATAAGCCGCTTTGGGGAACCACCTCCTCCTCGCATGCCGCTGCTGGCTGGCGGGGATTTGGCCTTGTTTTCGGGGGGCGCCATACGTGCAACAATTACGAAATGTGCGTGTGGAGTGGCCCTGTCCAAAACCCCCCAGTTTGCCCTCTGTTTGTTTGCGCAATTTGGTAAATTGACATGACGGCAATTTCCCATGGCCATGGTCCTCGCTGAGCTTCACGGACTTAACTTCGCTCGCTAGTTTTAATAATTTTTAATTAGCTGCAGCGGAAAGCTCTCAAATGGACAAACAAACTGTGTAGCCTGCTTTGCGGCAGTTTCGGGTATTATTTCCGGCCCTCCCGTAATGTAATTGCCGATATTTGTTTTGTGCCCCAATTAATTTGGGTATCAAGCGGTGTTAAAGCGGCCAACGGAATTTAATTAATTGTATTCGAATTAGAGCGAAAGTGTGTGCGGTATTGGCATTCAATCAATGGCAAATGCTGCATGTGATCCAGATTTTACTTCGCGTTTTTTTTTTGTAACGCAGCTGTGGCAAAGCGGTAATCTTTGTTTTTGTTCGTTTTTGTTTGGCTTTCAGCTTTGAGTTCCTTTCTTTGTTTTTTTTTGTTTGAAGCCCCACAATTTGATATACACAAATCGATTTACTTGCGCATGCAAATAACTTTATTTGCTTAGTGGGTAAGAAGGGAAGGACAGCACAGCGCAGCACGGGAAAAGCACAGCAAAAGCACAAAGGACAGCTCGCCCAGGACAGCAAAGGAGGAACAGAACTGTTAACAAAAAGTCGACAGGCGGGCTTGGCTCAGCAGCAGCAGCCAAACAAATTTGCATAAATCGCAGTTGGTAGCACACAACACAGCCAACACACACGCCCCGCATCCTGGCACCCACACATGTGCTTATTCACACCCAGTCCCCACACCCCAACCCCATTTATATATATATATCCTGATCCAAAGCGACACAGCCATCGACATCGCCATCGACACGAAGTGAAAGGCGCAAAGACTAAGTGCATGCTTAAGTGTTTTCTTTTCTATTTACGTGCCACGACGTTGGAGTGAGCAGCAGTGTCGTTTGTTTGCTCTGCTGCGGCTTGTGTGGCACAGAATCCACCTACCCCAACCTAAACACCCATCCAATCCCCCCCTGCATATGTAAATCAAGGTAAACAGAAATCTGTTACAGCATGATACCATTACAATGACATGCAACGGACCCCAAACGACACACCCCCCGGAAAGGCAGCCCGACTTGGCCTGGCCAAAACCACCACAGAGCAAACTAGATACTTATACACGTGTCTCATATTGACTGCGATATGTTATACAAATGAGATATTGATGCCTCACCATTACAACGACAGGCCGCCGCCCATCCAGTCAGCCATCCAGTCAGCCATTCAGTCAGCCAGACGACGTCGTCCTCGAGTGACAGCAAACAACAGGACTAGGAACAGGAGTGGAATGGGCGTAGGAGTACGGATAGGTGTGGTACCAGGACCACGGCCAGGACCAGCAGCCACATCACCAGCAGCAGCAGCAACAGCAACATCAGCAGTGGCAACAAATGCACGGAAAGCCGCCGTAATGGGAGAGGCAGGCCTCAAGTCCTAGATCAGGCTATGGGCACTCCTATTGTTTAACCCATAAATCTCTCCACTAAAGAGCCTTCCTATAAGTAAAAATAATTTAAAGTACCTACCAATACTACATCTTGTATATTAAGGACGAAAGGCTGGTACATGGTATACAAATAAATGCTGGATCCTAAAAAAATGTTTCTAAGGAATGGACCTCTTAGAAGAGAATACTTCTTAGCATATACTACACCATACTAAGAATATTAGGTAAAAATTTTAAACCTGTAGCTTTACAGGCGTAGGATCTGGACTAACTCTTTGATTTTAGGTGGATTTTATATATTATATAAAAATTTGTACTGAAGTATGTATTAGGTTAAAAATGTTATAAATGTGATCAACGAATTTAAAATGGTAACCAGATTCCTATTTAATTATCCCAACCAAATATAAAGCAAAAATATTTTAGATAGCATAATTATAGGGTTACTACTAAGTTTTGCAAGCGCTACTCATTATGGGTTAACTTGCGGCTCGCTATGCTATGCTATGCAATGCTGTAGGTGGTTACCACATCAGAAGGCAATGCCTTGCGTAACCAGATGCGGCAGCCGCACAGGAGAAAGCAGCCCAAGGAAAGGGAAAAGGAGAAAGCCTCGCCATGTGCGTGTCCAATCGCAAAGCAATCGAATCACACCCTGGGAGATGCGGAAAATGGAATGCGGTATCAAAGCTAGACATGAAAAGCAATCTGGCATCTAGAATGCAAAACCAGAAGAAAATACAGAAAAAAAGCAGAAAGAACTGAGTAATTAGAAATTGAAGACCAAAAGTTGGCAAAGCAAGAAGTGAGACTAAAATGAGTTTATCCTTGAAGATTTTTTCAAGATTTAATGGCACAAATATAGAAATAATTTAAAGAACAAGAGTTAAAATAAGTAGGCCATGTCCAGAAACGAAATTTGATTTTTGTTCAGTCGCCCAAAATGCAATTACGATCTGTGCAAACCAATTTTCAGATCTATATCTCCAAAACAACTCTGTGAACAAATTCGAACTTGCCTTCGAAAAGGGGAAGCCCAGCCCCCCAAAAAACAACGATTACGAATCGGGGGAATCGGGCAAAATGCAATAACCGAATACAAATTTGAAATGTGGCGGAAATTGAAATCGAAGGCGTTGAAGTGATTTCGTCTCGCAAAAATTCAATTGGAATGGCAGCGGCAACAATCGTCTTGCACAACAAGAACCACTTGGGCGGCACCCTGGAAAAGCCCCTCCATTCCCACTGACATCCTCGCAGGTCCTTTGGCAGGTCCTTATTGTGGCAGGGCTTCTGGTTACGCGGTTATTTGGGCTCCTTTCACATCCCCTTGCCCTGCGAGTGTTGTTGGCTGCACAATTTTTCCGCTGCATGCAATTTTAATGCGATTTTGGATTTGATTTGTAACCGAAAAATAAGCCACACAAACTTTTCCCCCTCCAAAGTGGTGGTTTTGTGGGGCAGGGAGGTTGCTGGTTGCAACTTGGAGTTGCGGTTGCATTGTAGTTGTCGGTAGTTGTCGTTGTTCCTTGTTGTTGCCTCGGTTGTTAAGTGCAAATATAAATTCAACGGCGGCGAAAAAGGGAATGCTTTGCACCCTGAAAAGGGGGGAAAAAAAGAGGGAACAGGGAGTTGGGGTCAAATATTTATTTGTTGCCGAGCACAAATTTTATGCTGCATACTTTATGCGCCGCTGCAGCAGGAGCAACACAATGTGGCACAAGTCACCAGGACCCAGGAACCAGGACCCAGGGAAATGGTAGCGAGGCGCATAAAACCTTCCGCTGCCATTCAAGTGGAAAAGTTTAAGCCAACTTTTCCAGCCCGAAAATGGGGTTTTCACCCCCCTCTCCTCGCTAGGCCAACAATTCAAGCGCGAAAATGCGCGCACTGAAAATCATTCAACGGAAGCCGCAGAAGGGGTTGCAAATTGGGGTGGTAACCCCCCCCCAAACTGTCACCACGCAGGCCTGCGACTCTAAAAATGCCAATTATGCCCATTCGATGGAAAATGCCTTGCACAATGTTTACTGAAAGGGCACTAAAATGAGCAAAAAGTCAAAATAATACCAACTAGCGCATTGCGTATGCGCCCTGTTGTCCACTTTATTTATGCGGGTCAGCGCACCAAACTTAATTAAAGTAACAACACGTCAGCCCGGGGTCAGAGTTCGCAGGCTGCCTGCACTTGAGGCCACTGGCTAAACTTGAAGAGCGCAGCACAACAGCCGCAAAACAATTGTAAACTCAATTAAATCCAAGCACCGCTGCGGCACTGGACTCCAGACTTAACTACAGGCCCAAGTTCCTCAGCTCGAAAACTCCGGAATGCCTTCTATTCCTCAGCACCCTTCTGGCACCAGAAAAATTAATGTACTTGTATTTAATGAAAATTAAAAACATATAGCACCGTGAAAGTAAAGTTATTTTAATTTTAAAAATTAACCATTCTATAGAACCTATTTGGAAATCCAAAACTCTACTTCTAAACTCTATAACTTGGGTAATTGGATCCCGATTTAGATGTGGGACACCTCTTTGAGTTTGTAATTAAATTCTCTGAAAATCTGCTCTCAAATATATCTTTAAAGCAAGGTTCGATTTTCAACCCATTTTCATGTTCGATTTTTCCGTAATTTTAGGCTTTCAGAATGGGAACCCAAATCTTCACTTCGAATTTCATACTTGGACAATTGTTTTCCGATTTCGATGTGGATACCTCATGAATTTGTGGAAAAATTCTCTAATAATCTGCATTTAAATTCTTTTTCTAGGGGGGTCAGATTTTGAACCCATTTTCATGTTCGATTTTTCCGTAATTCCAAGGTTTCAATGGGAACCCAAAACTGCACTTCGAAATTTCATAACTTGGACAATTGTTTTCCGATTTAGATGTGGATACCTCATTGAATTTGTTAAAATTCTCTGAAAATCTGCATTTAAATTCTTTTTCTAGGATAGGGTCAGAGTTTTAACCCATTTTAATGTTCGATTTTTCGTAATTCCGATGGCATTCCGAATGGGAACCCAAAACTGTACTTCGAAATTTCATAACTTGGACAATTGTTTTCCGATTTAGATGTGGCATACCCTTATGAACTTGTGGAAAATTCTCTAATAATCTACATTTAAATTCTTTTTCTAGGATAGGGTCAGAATTTTAACCCATTTTCGTGTTCGATTTTTGCGTAATTCCATGGCTTCAGAATGGGAACCCAAAACTGCACTTCGAAATTCATAACTTGGACAATTGTTTTCCGATTTAGATGTGGCATACCTCTAGAACTTGTGGTAAAATTCTCTAATAATCTACATTTAAATTCTTTTTCTAGGATAGGTCAGAATTTTAACCCATTTTCATGTTCGATTTTTCCGTAATTCCGATGGCATTCCGAATGGGAACCAAAACTGCACTTCGAAATTTCATAACTTGGACAATTGTTTTCCGATTTAGATGTGGCATACCTTATGAACTTGTGGCAAAATTCTCTAATAATCTACATTTAAATTCTTTTTCTAGGATAGGGTCCGAGTTTTAACCCATTTTCATGTTCGATTTTTCCGTAATTCCGATGGCTTCAGAATGGGAACCCAAAACTGCACTTCGAAACTTCATAGCTTGGACAATTGTTTTCCGATTTAGATGTGGGATACCTCTATGAATTTGTGGTAAAATTCTCTAATAATCTACATTTAAATTCTTTTTCCAGGATAGGTCAGAATTTTAACCCATTTTCATGTTCGATTTTTCCGTAATTCCGATGGCATTCCGAGTGGGAACCCAAAACTGCACTTCGAAATTTCATAACTTGGACAATTGTTTTCCGATTTAGATGTGGGATACCTCTATGAATTTGTGGTAAAATTCTCTAATAATCTACATTTAAATTCTTTTTCTAGGATGGTCAGATTTTGAACCCATTTTATGTTCGAGTTTTCCGTAATTCCTAGGCTTTCAGAATGGGAACCCAAAACTGCACTTCGAAATTTCATAACTTGGATAATTTTTTGCGATTTAATGTGGATACCTCTATGAATTTGTGGTAAATTCTTTAATATCTACATTTAAATTCTTTTTCTAGCGATGGTCAGATTTTGAACCCATTTTCATGTTCGATTTTTCCGTAATTCCTATGGCTTTCAGAATGGGAACCCAAAACTGCACTTCGAAATTTCATAATTGGACAATTGTTTTCCGATTTACATGTGGGATACCTCTATGAATTTGTGGTGAAATTCTCTAATATTCTACATTAATATTCTTTCTCTAGGAGAGGGTCAGAATTTTAGCCCGTTTTCATGTTCGATTTTTCCGTAATTTCATGGCTTTCCGAATGGGATCCCAAACTGACTTCGAAATTTCATAACCTGGCATTTGTTATCCGATTTGATGTGGATGCTCCATGAGCTTGTGGCGAAATTCTCTAATCTTCTGTACTAAATTATATTACAATGAGGTCGATTTTTATCGCATTTTCATATTTATTTTTCCGTATTCTAATAGTATTAGATGACTGTGCACTTCTAAGTTCCATACCTTGAGTTCTTAAATTCTTATTTTAAAAACACGCCATTTTATAAATGTAATTATTCAACTTGAATTTTATTTAATCAGGTAGTCTCAAGATTTTCCCCGAGTGTACCGTTCTATTGCCGGAGCCAGTCTCCCAGGGTGTGCTGATAACATACGACAGTTGTGACTTTAAAAATCCCTTTTCGCAATTTTTGCACAAAACTTGTGCAGGATTAATGGTCCGAACGGCCCAGGCATCCATGCAATTAAAATGCAACAACAAGGAGGCAGAGGCAGCGGAAGGGGCAGGCATCTAGAATCTAGAATCCAGTGGCGTGGTGGCATGGTGGCACAGTGGCAGCAACAGCTGCAGGAGTGGGCGGAAATGGAGCAGAAAGATTGCTGTGACTTTGGAGCGTTTGAAAACTCGCATGTGTGACGGGAAGGCCGAAAGCCCGGAGATAGCCACGCCATTTTAAAGTGGCTGGCGAGGCAGCAAAACGAGCAGTGGAAAGTGTGGAGGGGTAGTTGCCACACTAGTTAGTGCCTCATGGGAGCTAGGGGATGGGGATGGCGCAGTATTGTCCGCATACACAGAGGCTCCTCCTTTGGCTCCCCGGCATTGTACGGTTTTTGCCCGCAACGGCCAAAGACAAATAATGCAATTTCCTGACTAACTCATTTGGGGTGGCTGAGCAGCAGGATGGGGGTACTGTGGAGTCAGGACTCAGGACTCCCGACTGCAAACTGCAGTTCCGTGTCACTGACACTTGGCCCTCGCTGCCTGCCCACTCAGACATTTATTACCTAGTCGGATGTGCAATCGCTGCGAATGATCAAAGAGCCGTGGAAACACTGCTCCTCCAAAAAAAAAGGAGGCAGCACTGGTGGATGGATCTCTCGGATGCCCAGCAGATCCGTTTTCCACGTAACTCCACGCCCTTTGGGGCATCTGATGCAATCATTGGCAACTTCTGGTTTCATGTTGCACCACTCCTCACACACACACAAGATTAATGCGGTTCAGCATCGAACTTCAAACTCATTTTTAGCCCGGCGAGCAGGACCTGCCACCAGGGAAGGACCTCCCGTACATGTGTTGAGCAAACCAGGAGCATGTCCTGCAGTTGGTCCCTGCTCCTTTTCGCTGGCCCCTGTAATTTGTCCCCTCACTCTGCTGTTTGTTTGCGCAAAAGTTTGCGGCGACAATTGTTTTGCGGTGTTGCAGCCAGGAAACACAATCCCAATCTCACACATGCGATTGGAATTCTTTCTTGAGAATGTTTTCCAGAGGGGGAGCACAGAAAAAAGTCAAGATTTATGGCACATCGATTTTTGTGAGTGGCCCCCGGAAATGTCGCAGCAGTTTAATGTTGCTTATCATATCTCTCAGCCGCACCACTCCACCGCCGCCTCATATATCAATTATTTTCCAATCAATTTAAAGTTAATAACATTTCAATTCGGACACGTTTAATCGCGATGAAGAACTATAATTAAAAAGCCGGACATGCGGACATCATCAGCCGTCGACGCAGTTGCGCAACGAGCGCCACTCGGTCCAATCGAAGCATCCGAGGTAGCCATCCTGGTCGACGAAGGCCTTGCCATCGGGACAGGGCAGCTCCTTGGCTCCCTCGCTGGTGCAGAGGTAGAAACTGGCCACGTCATCGCAGGCCTGGGGCTGCATCTTGCTGGACGAGGTGCAGTCGGGCACCTTGGTGTCCAGGTTCACGCAGGAGGGCTTCATCAGGGTGGAGGGCAGGCAGCCGCAGATGGTGGCGTTGTTCACGAAGTAGTAGCCCGGGTCGCACTCATCGGTGATCACGGCTCCGTCCAGGCAGAAGTAGAACTTGCGGATGTCCTCGCCGCCCCACAACTCGTCCTCCGATTGGCAAACCACGGTGGCATTGCTGGGTCTCTGGGTCCCAGGGAAGCGGCGTTGCACAGAGCCAGGAGGCCAAAGAAAATCACAAGGGCTGCAGGTATGTCAGGAAATATTAATAAATTTAGATTAACGTTAGAAAAGATTTTAATTTTATAGAAACTTGTATTTTTACTTAAAATTAATGTATACCTTATTTTTTATTTTATGTTTACTTTACTATTCTTTAGTTTTTAAGAACTCCTAATTGGCGCATAATTGGAGATACTTCATTAAAAGATTGATAAAAGCACTGTAGATATTGATAATGAGCTTCCTGTATTCCACGAATGATAGGAATTTTAAAGACAATGAACAGTAATGCAAAACATATCATATTATTTTTGAAAGTTTAACCATGTTAACTAATATTAATTTACTTTATATATTAGGATAAGCATGTCATTATGCTTGTATTAATAGCTTAATGACAAATTAATTCATTCAGTTGATTAAAATCTAAGCAAGTGTCATAAGGCCATATCAATGGTATACGTTTATTCACAACAATGTTATTGGAAAAGCTGTTATTTCCAAGCAATTTTAGGATATACAATGTATCCTTTCTCACGCACACATTTCACTTTCTCATTTCATTTAAGATGTTTACCTTTCAGCATGTTCTATCCTTGGGTAGCTTCTTTTCGGTTCAAAATTTAAGACAGACTAAAGACTAGAATATGGCGCCCGGCTTTTATAACATTCTATCCGATTGGGCAACTTATCGGGACTCTCGAAAGCACTACCATATCATTGCCAATGCCACTGGCTTGTTGACACCTCCGATGATGAATACTATTGGCTTCTGGTCTTGCCCACATTGCTTATCGGATGTTTTTTTCTTATGCAGATAATGGCGAATTCTTGGCTTAATTTGCTGCTCTGACTTTCAACAGATATCACGTCTCAAGTGCTTGATGAGCAGTTCCTGGAACCGAACCAACCGAAGTAACCCTGATTTGGGGGTGCCAATGTTTTTCAGCTCTCAGTATCACCTGGTGCTCACGTCTGGGAAACTTTTAATTGAATTCCCTGCCGGCAGAAGAAGCCAACATCGATAGCAAGCCTATTGGAATTTATGTCGATTATATTGTCAACTTTGTCAGAGCTCCACGAAGTTTGCCTATTTAAACTTGGGACCCGCGTAAATAGAGTGCAAGAAGTGGAGTGGAGAGAGACTGGAAAGGAAGTTGGATTGACAACGTGACTCGGCGGGAAAAACCAGTGGAAGTAGAAGTTTTTCCCTTTTCGCAGAGGTTATGGGCTTGGCCGCAAAGTGACTTCTTTCCCGGCGGCAGCTGAGCTCCTCCATTTGGGCGCTTTAAGCCAAATCAATTAGAACTTTTTGACAGCAGCTGGGCCTGCAAGTGAATCTGAACCTGAACCTGAACCCGGACCTCATTCACTGCATATTCCACACTCCAATGACTATTATCTCAGCAGCAGAGCGTAATTAAATTTTCAACTGATTTCTGCAGCAATAATTTCCAATTTGCTCCATTTGAAAGGCAATTAATGTCTGTGCTATCGCTTAGATAAGACCCATGTGTGCTTGTACTTTTTCGGTAGTCATTCTAATGATTCATTGAGACAGGTTAGCAGGGAAATTCTTGCAATCGATTGTCGAATCGAACGATGAGAGTAGGAAACTTTTAAAGACTTAAACCAGTCCATCTATCTAATCAACAAATGCTGCTAAGAACGAAGAGCAACGCGACGTCACTTTAGTCCAAAATAAAAATGCCCGAAAAACCCGATGAAAAATGACTGTAAAAATAGCTGCGATAAGGTTGGCGATGGGAACATGGAGAGTCATGCAATGAGCATGGGTATAAAAACGAAAGACAATGGCGACGACATCAATCAGTCGAGTTTTTCAGCAGGAAGAGCAGTGGCAGTAAACACATAAATTTATTAACGAACCCAGCTTATGACCAAATGATGAGAATCGCGCAAAATAACTGCATTTACTAGCGAATTGTTAAATAAGTAAAAATCAGGAGAGCGTAGTTGGTGTGTCATAATAATAAATGCTCCGTTGGCTGTTCGTGATGAAATTATTTATGAAAAATAAATGCGGAATTTCGCCCTGGATGCTGGCTGCCCTGCTCCTGCTCCTGATGATGATGGGCGGAACATCGCCTCCACCGAAAACAGAACCACGAATGCAACATGCAGACATGCCACGGACATGTGGGGAGATCCGGACCCCAACATATTCTACGTGTGCTCCGATGGACAACCGCTGCAGCTGGAGTGTCCGCCGGGTCGGGGATTTTTCAGCGGTCTCGGCTATCTGGGATGTGTGCCCTATGGCCAGTGGCCGGCCTGCCGGCCCTCGGAGGAGCAGGTGGCCACCGAGTTGTCAGCTGGCTGTGACAGGAACACGGGCTCCGTGCCATCGCCCTGGGCCTCTCCGGACCCCAATCAATTCTACCTGTGCCCCGGGTCAAAGGCCACACCTCTGCTGCTCACCTGCGCCGGGGGCAAGGGATTCGTGGCCAGTTCAGAGGTGGTCGGCTGTGCGGATTGGCCAACATGGCGCCGCCAGCTGCAGTGCGAGGCCTTCTACTGATCCGATCCGGCGGAACACCACATGTACATGCTATTTCAATAATTGTCGACTATCCTCCGACCATCTGACTCGAATCTTATTTAACTTATGGGGTAACATACTGCGCCACTTGACTCACTAGTTTATCTGTAAATAAAGTAAAAAGTATCTATTTATTACCAATGCGGGTGTTTTTGACTGATGGACTTGTCTACGGCACTGATAAGGGCGGTAGCAGACTGATAACACAATCAATTCGGAAAAAAGAAAGTCAAAATGGTTAAATACATTCTATTTGCGAAATTAAGTTGGCTGCTAATAATAAACTGTATTTTAAGATACTAAAATAAAAGAATTAACCTCTTTTATAATTTTTCAAACCTTTTTTTTAGTTTTTAATATTACAATTTTAAAAAAGGTCAGAAAAGGAATAAATTTTGTGTTGGTAAATGGAATTCAAATAAAAAAAAAATAGCTGTGAGTTTTTGTATGAAACAAGCTGTCATTTTTCTCACAAAAATGTTTATCCGAACAATAAACTTGTTTCTAAGTGGTTTACATTTCATTGACCATTTTTCTTTCTTTTCATTTCCTTCCTTTAGAAATATCTAAAAATAAACGACATCAAGTTGACAAAAATTTCTAAAAACTAAGCAAATACTTAGAAATATTTTAGTTGACAAATTGTATTCAAATCAAATTAACAATGAACTGTGAGCCTTGGTATCAAATAAACTGAAAGTATTTTTCCGAAAATAAACCTATTCAATTGTCAATAAACCCGAAAACAATTGATAATATTGTTTGGTTTGAGTTAATGCTCCTCGACTGGCATTGCATTGTTTTGCGGTATTATAAATTTAGAACACTCCATTGTTCCACTCCTCTTGGGGATTAGTGAATTGCAAATAATACCTCATCTGCTGGCATTGCTGTTCATTGCAATTATTGCTCATTTGAGCATATTAAATGACGATGAGCTGCAGAGTGTGTGCCACATGGGGCAAATCCTTTTAGTTCCCACACTCCCGCCAAGCCAACGCATTATCCTTGGCCATTACTCTCTCTTTTCTCCGTCTGTCTGTTGGCTGGTGGAAAAGTGGGAAAACTGGAAATGTGGAGAACTGGAGGTCTGGAGGTCAGCATCCCTTTGATGTGCCCTTTTACTTTGTCATTCCCCTATGAGGGGGGTTTATTTTTTATGCTAGCAGCTGGTCTGCTAACCGGCTCTCAGCCCCGTTTACAGGCTTAAGCCTTTTGTCCTGGCCATAAAGCATTCGCCCAGGTTCACGGCATAAGAATAATGACACATGCACCTGGGCGCCGCATAAAAAAGATGGAGGCAAGTCGGAAATTGCATTTCGCTTTGAGCGCGTCCAGATGCAGGAAATTACTGTCAACTGTTAACGGCCGGGATAGGATCATGACCTCCCACTCTTCTGGCCCGGCTTTAATAAATCTTCAATTTGCATATTTCTTTTCCAGTTTTATTCCCTTTTTAACCGCTTTCCCGCTTTTCCTTTGGCCATTAATCAATGCCCTGGGCGATGGCAGACAACATCACGTATACGCAATTTTAATTGCCGCTGATATAAAAGTGTTTAGCGGTTGGGGCGGCTGGGCTGACTTCAATTTAATTAAATGTTTACTTGCTGCTCTCAGCAGAAATCAATGAAGCGACTTCTAATTTATTGCTTACCCAAGGACACCAAGGACTCGCATCCTGCTGACGCAGCCAGGGGAAAGGTAATTAACCGATTGCCAACTGAAAAGCAGCTGATAATATCCTTGGAGACCTGCCCATAAGTACCCATGCAATAAATAAAGAGTTTAAGGCTGGGCCCCAATCAGCTGGGAAATCAATAGACCGCCAGCATCATCGATGTGGCTAATAGACAGCCCAAACGATTCTCCGGGGACCCATGACGCCCCCACTTACCACCACTTCCACTCGCCTCATGAGGGACTCTCCATTTCGTTGATTGCCCCACCGCAGGCGCAATAATATTGATCGTCTGCAAATGTTGTTCGGCTGCCCTTCAATTTATGTTCTCTCCTTGCTGCAAATTTAACCGAGCCCACACACACGGACAGAAGGACACAGGGCGCACAAGGGTTAATGTGGCAATGCAAATCCCAAATATGGGCAAAAATGCAATGCAAGTGCTGCCACGAATGCGAGTGTGGCACCAAGGCCAGCAACGGTTAAAGCCTACACAGGCTGCAAACAAAGAGCGACTGAGGGTCCGTTGCAATTGCAGTTACCACTGATATACGGGGATTGAAGGCAGGAGCGGACTCAAGGGGGATCTAAGGAAACAATAGTACAATTTTTGGAAAAAAGGATTAAATTAATATATCTGAATACAAAATATTGGTAAAATTATTTCATTTGTTGATGTAATTTTGATTTATTCCAAATTGTTGTAAGGTTTATAATAGGTTTTATTTAGTTGTTAGTAGTTGTAATTCCATTATAAATATATGTTTTAATAGAACTTGTAGAACTATTTTACAATTCTTGTTGAACGGTTGTACATTTTCCATAATGGTTGAATGTTTTTTTAGACCTCGAGATGGTTTAAAAACTTCTCATAAATCATATAGGTTATATATACCTTAAAAAATTATTTCTTTGTAATTGTAAGTACTTCTATTTTCTTTATCAATCAATTTAAATTTTTCTCTTCTCCGAAACTGAAAATATTTAAAATTAAAAAAACCGTTCATTTTAATTGTCTTCTTTGATACCGCGTTTCTTATACCCTCTGGATTATAACTAATTTTCTAAGTTCCCTTATTTTAGCCAGCAAAATGCACCTCAAGTGGAAACATTTTCTGAATGACAATTACCGAGTTGGTGAACCGACTGGCTGCTCTTTTTTGTGCCAAGGCTAATCGGTGACAGGCAGAGATTTATGCTTTCATATTCCAGAGTGAAATGTGGTATGAAATGCATCTATTCCCCGTGGCCAGGGTCCTCCGCTCCTGCGCCACCTGCTGCGGCTTCAATCCATTTACAGGTGTTTGCCCAGAGTCAATGCATTGCATACGCAGCCAGCCGTAAAACATTTGTCACATTTGCATTAAAAGCGGCAGCAATCCGGGGACCAGCTTTATGTGTGTTTGCATTCGCACTGGCAGTGCCGAGGAGCAGAACCCAAACCAGAGGAGATCCCATACCCAAACCCACACCGAAACCCACACCCGGATGGCTATGCAATTTATTTGCACAGTGCACTTGCCAATTAATTCTTATCTCAGCAGCAGCCATGCAGGTTGCTTTCCCGGCGACTGCATAAATCAATGTGCCTGAAATGATAACTCATGCGAAGGGTGTTGCACGACCCGTACTATCCGTGCTATCCCTACTACTACCATATATACTCCGGTATATTCCGGCACACAAATCGTGCTCTAGATCGGCCTGCCCTTCGATTGGATGGAGAGGCCCAAAATGAGACGTTACGTGGATGGGGATTGGGATGGGGATTCGAGGAGGCATTGTGTGTCTAGGAACTGCAGCTCACTCAATTTCATGCTGTCAAATGTGCTGGCAAGACTCCCATTCTCCGTGGGCCCAGGCACACAAGATCCTTTGTCCTGATTCCCCATCCCAAAAGCCCTTCCCGAACTACTTCCCGAACCCATTCCCATCCAGCGGCGTCTAATTGAATTGCACTGCTATAATGGCCGATTCAGCTTGGTGGCACCTCCTAATTGAAAAGTGTTGTTCCCACTAGCAGCAAATTTACGATAAAACTGCCATCCATCTTGTGAGTCGATTGAGATTTAAACTGAGCTTCCAGCGATAAATGCAGGTATTTTTTCTGGGGGATTATTAACTGCAGAGTCTGTCAGCTGGCAAAATGAATTCATTTACTATTCCATTTGAGGTCACCTGTGCATATGAGACGACATTATGTATGCATTCTAATTTGATAGAAAAGCCGAAAAGGAGACTTTCTTGGCCAGCTGCCTCTGTGTGTGTGGATTATCCTGGGGCCAAACAATAAGTGTCTGCCCACCCGCATAAATTCATATAATTAAAGCGATCCAATTATAACTGTTGCGAGTTGTTGCTGGCAGCCTGTCTGCGAATCTCGGGGAAAGGACAGGCCGCTTCCTGTTTTCCAACGCCGCCTCAGGAGGCCGCTGGGAAATCCTGGCGCGCCCAGGTAATTAATTATGTCGGCTGCAATGACGGTGCTGAAAATATCCGGTGAGCTAAGGTAAGGTAAGGTAAGCTGGGGCCACCAAAGGCCAAGTACAAAAATACAAAAAAAACTGGAGCGGGGCCAGCGGAAACGGAAATAAGCACAAACAGTTGGCGACGGCGGGGAACGAAACAAACAAGTCGCTGCCTGCGCGCCTTTTGGCCCAAAATGATTTATTAGAAACGACATTTCAATTTTTCATCGCCAAGTCTCCGTGCCGCCTGCTTGCGTAAATAAGAAAACGCGTAGAAATAAATATAAATTTGCCTGTTGACAAAAATGTAGCAATTTCACATGCAACTAAATGCGTATTTCCGGCCGGAAGAGCCGCCGACAACGGTTTGTGCGTGTGTGGGTGGGGTAGTGTGGGGACTTCCGCTTTTTGCCGCCATTTTGCTGTTTGATTGAGCTCGAGTCCTTGTTTCCCAGGGCCCAGAGATGCCCCTTTGAAGGTGCTCAAGCAGCTTGCACAGAGTGTCCTTAAAGGAGAGTGCTCGAAAAAGGACACCCACTAACACACACACACACACTCTATCCAGCAAACCGCAAGGAAACAATAAATTTGCTGCAATGCGAAACGGAAATGTTTGCAACGGAAATAGAGGAAACGCAGCACTACCACCACTGCAGTGGCAAAAGTCGCAGTTGTCCTTTGCAATTGTCGCACGGCGAATGGCAACAAACAAAGTAATTGGTCCACACAAATTGCCAGCCGAAGGAAAAGTGGCAGATACGGAGAAAAAGCTGGCAATGGGAAAACGCCAAGGAATTGCCACTTGAAAGGGGAGAAAGAGAGCAGTAATGGCTAGTAAATTTTATTATGACCATGACGTGCCTTTCTCCAGCGCCCCATTTCTACTTTCTCTCCCCCCCCGCCCTTTCACCGGCACATAAATTATGCATATTTAGCAGAGTGAAATTGAAAACTAATTAATTACACTTGCAGCCCGGAGCAGCGGCTAAGTGAGGTGGACCCCGTTTGCTGGAGAAAAATGTTGTTCAACTTTTTAATTGCCAGCATCAAGTGTTTTTCAAATTGCTCTTGGCTGTAATTATGGTCGAAAAGTGGCTGAAACGTGAGACATTCTGCGCTGGCCAAGGGTC